CTTTTTTTCTAACATTATTGCCTTCTCTATGAAACTTTTATTGATCTTTAATGAGTGAAATCCCTGTTCTAACACCTTTTAACACTTAACAGTGAACTTTTTTAAAACACTAAACATTAAAATTTTTACAAATTAACACTAAACTTTAAAAAAAAGGCCAAATAACACTTAACACTAAACCCCATCCAGACCCTCAAAACTGATCGCTTTCCTATAAAGCAATCGCGAAAAACCTAACTTTTCAATAGGAACCCACTGCACAGATGGCTGGTGAACTAATTTCTATTGCGTAGTAGTGTTTTCTTGATGTCGTTTTTCACTTGAAGTATCTTCAGAACAACAGTGCTATCCAAGAGGCCAAAATTATCAGCGAAATAAATGAAGAGGCACAAATGGAGTACCCTCCACTTGAAGCGGTCGGTTTTCCTGTTGTGACCAGCGGTTCTCCTCCCCGTACCACGTGCTTTCTACATGTTTTCTGTTTGCTGCTACTCAGACATAACGCGTGATCCATCACGTGGAACACATACTGCTGTTCAAATACGCCACGAAACAGGTAGGCCCCGGGTCCGTCCGCGTATACCCCTGAGAACAAAATATGATGTGTAGATTTAGCTTAACCTAAAACCGAAGCTACGTTAGTCAATTTTACTGTCCTTCACTTTAGTATAACTCTCTAGCTGGAGAAGAGTTTATTTACATTAATTTAGGGACCAGTAATTATTCCTTAAGACGAGATATAAATAGAACTAGTCTAATAATATATGATAGAGTTTAAAGTCATCAGTAAAAGGCCTTATTAAAAAATTTGCCTTTTATCCAGCTTCAAATTTAGAGCATCTTATGACCAATCATTTGTAACTGAAACATTTTTCTTTCCTTCAGTCTTAGTTGTACTTTTTTCTTAATTCCACTTTTGCGTCGGCCAATTACTACGGACTAAAAGGTTGGGATATTCATTGAACTGAATACTCTATCGCGGCTGCACTGCCTTTCATAGACACACTTCATGTACAAAAAATAAATAAATAAATAAATAAATAAATAAAGGAAAGAAGCAAGATATAAAAAAAACTTAAGCCAAATCATTAATGAAAGAGAAACCGTCGCTCAGTTCCTTTCGTAGACGACAACTCGCAGGCATAAGATTATTGATCATTGGATGCAGGTATTCGTATACTATGAGAATAACACGAAATAAAAATCTTTCTTTTCCCCCGGATTTCAGCTGTAACACTCACCAACATCTTCAACTCCGTGAGTCTCAGAACTTTTACGAACTGTAGCCTGGGTGCGATAGTCTTTGTTAGTGGTGTCGACTCCTCTTAGGTCTGGACGAACCCCAGTTAAGCCTCCTGGGCCGTTTGCGTAACCGAGCGAGGTATAAGTCTTGTTATCGGATCCAACCGCCAAGTCTCCGTCAGTTTCAGTCACCAAGGTAAATATTGGGTTTCCGCGCCAGGGGTACGCGCCGATGGTGAAGACGTGAGAGTGGTCAGCGGTGACAGTTATCAAAGTTTCTTTTACAAAGATATTTTAACAGATTTTCAGAGAAACAGTTCATGGCTTTTTGCAAGGTCATTACACCAAGCAGCTTCGTGTTTAATAGTTCTATACAGGACCTCAATACTTATAATGTATTCATTATCATGAAAAGTAGAGTTAAAATTACTCATTATAGAATGAAAATACAGTCTACCTTTATTTATCATTTCCTTTGCTTTCATAACTGCCTTCTCCATGGCTACGCCATCATTTATAGCTTTCACCGCCTTATTGGCGTGGTGTCCATGATCAATCCGTCCTCCTATAGAAAATAAAGATACCCTGGGAGTTTTGCAATCATTATTCCAAAATAGAATGGAGTTTGATGCCACCTAGTGTATTTTAACAACTATCAAAGTAATTCGTCCTATGAATGCAACTTCCTTGAGCTTGATAAAATGCTAGAGATAAAT